AGTAGTAGAAGATGTGGTCAGAGGGTTGATGTCTATAGATTTTACTGTCTATGCACAAGGAAACATGCGGATATGTGTTGTCCTCAGGATTGGGCACTGCTAGGTGATCTAATGCCTGGCACATAGTAGACATTCCAAAAGCATTTTTAAGATGAATGTATACAATCAATCAAATGGTGAGCCTGAATGACACCAATAAATAACTTGCTGATGTGAGATTAGAACACAACATAGCCTAGTCCGGTGCCATCTTCACCACTGTTATGTTGGTGCCCATTGTTGTAGTCACTGTGTCAATCCATTTTGTTGAGGGTCTTCATCCTTTTCACTGCCCTTCTACTTTACCAACCACGGGGTCTTCTATCACATCAATTTCAACCCGTTAGCTTTCCTTCCCTGCACCTTTCTCAATACTCCGCGAGAACGCTCAAGTTGGACATCTCGTGAATCACGCTATTTCCAGCCCCTGACAGACGTGGCAATATTGCTTATTGAAAGACAGTAGACATGAAATGATAAAGGTAGAATGAAAAAAAGAAAAAAGTTATCCATCCCAGCCAGAGAAGCCTTGTGCCTATCCTTAGGACAAAAACCAGACTCCCTTCAGACTCATAGACTCCCTATATAGCAGAATGACAAGTGCCCAGACCAGCACCATCCTCACAATCGTTGTTGTTTGAGCCCATTGTTGCAGTCATCGTACTAGTCCATCTCTGATGCTTGTCACCTTTTTATGCTGAACTTCTACTTTACCAAGCACGATGCCCTTCTCCAGGGAGTGGTCTCTTTAGATAATATGTCCAAAGGATACTATTCCTTACCATTTCACCCCTTGACTGCGAACCACATTTTGCGCCCTTGATGGGCAGGTGCAGTGTGTTGTCACCCCAAGATGAAGAGCTCAAAATCCTCACTCACTGCCCTGAATCGTTTCTGTCTCCTAGGCCTCCTCCCATAGGGCAGCGGAGAACGGTGCCCCTGGGGTTCTGAGGCTGCTAACTCTTTTCGGGCGTAGAAGGCCTCATCTTTGTCTGGCGGATCGGTTGCTGGTGTCGAACTGCTTCCCTTGCAGTTAGCAGCCCAATCAAGAATCCACTACTGGACCAAAAGGGCCCCAGGTGTGGGTTGGGCCGGGGTCCTTATCCCCACGCTTTAACTTCGGGGTCTGGGCCTTCAGTTCAGGGGGGTCTCTGCTCAGCACCTCTGCTCCTCGGCGTAAACTCGGCCCCCGCCACGCACAGACCCTGTTGTGGTCCCCCTCCCCATGCCAGCTCCTCAGCGGGAACCTCAGCCCCTCCACACAAACGCCGGGTTGCAACACGCCCCTCCGGGCCAGCGGGTCCTCCGGAAGCCATCTACGCTCCTCAGGCGGGGCCTCCGTTGCTCCGCGGAGGAAACTTCCGCCTCAGCCCCCTCCCCTCAGCTTTCCGCTCTCTCCTCCACCCTCCCAATCCCTTCAGACTGAACTTCCGGCCGGCGCCCCCTCCCCTCAGACCCGACTTCCGCTCGTTGCCCGCTCCCCCCCTCCCATCCCTATCCTCATCCCCGCGGAGCGAGGTGAACTTCCGGTATCCGCCCCCTTCCTTCAGGCGGGACTTCCGGCCTGCGCCCGCTCTGCGCCGCTCCCTGCTCGGCTCCGCCGGAGGCAGGCGACCTCCTGCGCGCGCCCCGCCTCTCCCGCCGGCCCGGCTCCGCCCGCTCCCCGCGCGGCCCGTCCCCCCTCCGCGGCCTCGGCGAGCTGCGAGCGGCAAGATGGCGGCGCCCAGGCTGCCTCCGGCCCGGCTGTCGGGCGTCATGCTACCCGCGCCCATCCAGGACCTGGAGGCGCTCCGCGCGCTGACCGCGCTCTTCAAGGAGCAACGCAATCGGTAATGGCCGCGGGGTCGGGCGGGCGGCGACCCCCCGGGTCCCCAGACCCCGACCTCGGGCCACGGCTCCTCTGCTCGCCCGCGCTGGGGACGCCGCGACCCCGAGGATGGGGTCTCCAGCCCGCGCGGTTCTCAGCGTCTTGACCGCCAGCGCTGTGCTCACGCTGTCTGGGTGGGAACGCTGGTCCACCCTCGGAGCGGGTGCCAGGTGGGCGGACCTGTCAGCAGGTTTTGGCGGAGGTGGGGGTGGTGGTGGTGGTGGAGGAGGTGCCCGTGTGAGCCCAGCACTCTCTGTGGCCCTGCTAGGGCGAGCCCCTTTTAGAGGTGGGCTGTGGGCGCCATCTCACCTGACCCCAGAACCCAGCTGTAGCCAGCCCAAGGAGGCAGAACACTGGGGGGCTTACAAAAACACTGGCCAGGAGAGCCATGGAAAGGTCAACTCAGTCCTGCTGCGGCCACCGAGAGGCCTGCTGGAGAGTGAGAAAGAGAAGGTGCCCAGGGGGGTCCGAGATGCATGTACAGTACCCGGATTTCACTGACTTGCCTCCAAATGGCCGTTGATACAAAATATCCTTTTCAGATTGTTCCGAGGAACAAATGAAGTAAAGCATATAAATCCATAAAGTGTGTCAGGCCCTCAGTCACTGCTGGTTTTATTAGTTCAGTTCTCCGACTCTCAGTTTCCGGACCAGTTGAATAGTGCCGTTTTTTGGTGGGGTGTTTATAAAGAATGATGCTGGGTATTACCTCCCTCATGGGATTGTTGAAAGGATTAAATGAGGTTGTGTGTATTAAATCCTTAGTACTAAGATCATCCAACAACGGTTGCAGCAGTACATTGACAAGGAGCTACCAGTGGTCCAGGCCAGATGCAGAAGAGGACAAGGAAGAAGGAAGATCATTGCTGATGTCAGATGAGTCTTGGCTGAAAGCAGAGAACGCCAGAAGGATGTTGACTTGTGATTTGTTGCTTATGCAGAGGCATTCGACTGTGTGGACATGACCCGCTATGGATAACCTTGAGAAGAATGGGAATCCCAGAATACTACATTGTGCTCCTGTGGAGCCTGTACATGGATCAAGCGGCAGTTGCGATCAACACAAGGGCATATTGCATAGTTTAAAATCAGAAAATGAGTGTGCCAGAGTTGCATCCTCTTGCCATATTTACTCAGTCTATATGTGAACAGATAATCAGAGAATCTGGATTATATGAAGAAAAATGCAGCATCAGGATTTGAAGAAGGCTTCTCGACAATTCTTGATATCAGATGACCCAACCTTGCTTTCTGAAAATGAGGAGGAATTGAAACCCTGGCTGATGAGGATCAAGAGTTACAACCTTCAGTATGGATTAAAACTCAATGTAAAGAAGACTGGAATCCTCACAAGTGAACTAGCAGGTAACTTCATGGTCAGTGGAGAAAAGATTGGAGCTGTCAAGGATTTTATCTTGCGTGATCCACAACCAATGCTCTTGGAAGCTGCAGTCGAGCGAGATCGAAGGATGCATTGCATTGGGTACATTTACAAGATCTATTTAAAGTGTTGAAGACCAATGATGCCACTTTGAGGACTAAGGTGCTCCCGACACAAACCTTGGCATTTTCAATGGCCTCACATGCGTGTGAAAGTTGAATAAGAAGGCTGTAGAAGAATTGATGCGTTTGAATTATGGTGCTGGTGAAGGCTATTGAGAGTACCTTGGACTGTCAAAAGAACAAATACCTGTTTACAGGTATTTAGAGGTATTGCTCTTTAGAGGCAAGGATGGGGATACTTCATCTCACATACTCTGGATATGTTGTCAGGAGAGACCAGTCCCTGCAGAAAGACATCAAGCTTGGTAAAATAGCAAGGTAGCTAAAGAGCAGAAGACTTTTGACAATGGGTTAGCACAGTGGCTGTATCGATGGGCTCAAATAGAAGAACAATTGTGAGGATTGGCCAGGACTGGGCAGTATTTCAGAATCTACTTGATGGCACACAGTAGTCACAACAACTAAATGCGTGTGCTGACGCAATATTATTGAACACTTATGGTTGGTTCACTGTGCACCAGGTAATGGGGTTGAAAATGAAGCCTTTTGCTTTCCCCAGTACAGATTTGTGGTAAGACAATTAGGGTATGTATCCCTGTGGTATGTAACCCACAGGGGCAGATCTACCCTTTCGTGTAGGGTTGCTGGGATTCAGAATCAACTTGATGGCAGTGAAAGGGTTTTGTTTATTATGAACCAAGCTCTTGGCCAGTGGGTGAGGGCACAAAGATGAATGTTCATTTTTTGAGCGTGCTAGGAGCACTGGTGGTGAAGTGATTCTGCCTTGGCTGTGATCCAAAAGGTCGACAGTTTGAAGCCACCAGTCGCTTTGAGGAAGAGACTGGACTTTCTATTTTGGTAAAGAGTTACAGTCTAGGAAACTCACAGGGGCATTTCTACCCTGTCCTATAGGGTCACCATGAGTTGGCAACAAGTTGATGGCAGAGAGAGAGGGAGAGGAAAGTTGTGAAAATTAGTGCTTTGAACCATTTCTTTCTGCTTCATTCACGGTCAATGAAGTGGCAACAGAATGGACCTGAATTTGTAAAATGTGGGTGAACTGAAGATTACTGGAAAAATTACTGTCTGATGCCCTGCTAGAAACTTATCTCTTCCTGGTTGAGGTAACCTGTGTATTAAATTAACCAAGTCTCTTGAATGACATAGTTGGAAACAGTGGTGCCTGGTTCAAAGATGGTGACTCACTGCCTGTACTGCCCAGAACTGTGCGCTTCTAGCCACAGTTCTGCCAATAATTCAGTCTCCCCAATCTGGCTCTTGAAAGGGCTCACTGACTGTACCTCTTCTGAATGTTCCATTCCTGGATTTTGACCAGTAACTTTTCTTGTTCAAGTTATTGTGTGATATACCTACATCTTATAAATCCAGGCCCGTTCTGGTTGTGCTGGCCATTGCTAACTCAGTTTGAAACCGAAAGGACTCAAGTAAAAATACAACCCTTGAGATGTAATATTGAAAGAGTCTGTGGGCAAATTACTGAATGCTGCAGGAAACATCAAAAGGAGATGGAACGAATACAGAGTCACTATACAAAACAAAACAAAACAAACTAGTTAACCATTTCAGGAGATAGCTTATGAGCAAGAAGCAATGATATTTAAGGAAGAAATTCAAGTAGCACTGAAAGCATTAGCCAAAAACAAGGCTCCAGGAATTGTTGGGATACCTATTGAATTATTTCCATAAGCTGATGAAGCACTGGAAGCACTTACTCATGCTAGGAAATTTGGAAGGCAGCTACTTGGCCAACTATCTAGAAGAGATCCATATCTAGAAGAGATCCATATTTGTACCCATTCCAAAGAAATTTGACCCAACAGAAGGCTCTAATTATAGAACAATGTCATTGATAACCACTTGCAAGTAACATTTTTCACATCATCCAACAGCAATTGTAGCAATACATTGACAAGGAGGTTCAAACTGGTTTAGAAGAGGTTCAAACTGGTTTAGAAGAGGATGTAGAAGGGATATCATTGCTGATGTCAGATTGATCTTAGCTGAAAGCAGAGAATACCAAAAAGATGTTTACTTATGTTTAATTCAGTATACAAAATCATTTGACTGTGTGGACCATAACTAACTTTGAGAAGACTGGGAATCCCAGAACATTGCATTCTGCTCCTGTGGAACCTGTACATGGATCAAGAGGCAGCCATGTGATCAAAACAAGGGCATATTGCATAGTTTAAAATTAGAAATGGAAGAGCTGTAAAAGCCCCCAATAAAATGATTTAGAAAAAAGATTTTTTTTTTTTTAAATCAGAAAAGGTTTGTGTCAGGGCTGCATCCTCTAACCATACTTACTCAAACTATATGAGAACAAATAATCAGATAATTTGGATTATATGAAGAAGAATGAGGCATCAGGATTTGAAGAAGACTTCTTGACAACCACGATTGCAGATGACACAATCTTGCTTGCTGAAAACGAGGAACTGAAGTACTTGCAGTTGAAGAACAAGGATTGCAACCTTCAGTATGGATTAAAACTCAATGTAAAGGAGACTGGAATCCTCACAAGTGAACTAGTAGGTAGCATCATGATAAATGGAGAAAGCTTGAAGTTGTCAAGGATTTTTATCTTGCGTGGCTCCACAATCAGTACGCATGGAAGCAGCAGTTGCGATCAAAGGATGCATTGCATTGGGTACATTTACGGTACAAGACCCATTTAAAGTGTTGAAGAGCAGAGATGTTACTTTGAGGACTCTGGTGCTCATGACCCAAACCATGGTATTTTCAATAGCTTATGCATGTGAAAGTTGAACACTGACTAAGGGAGTCAGGAGAAGAATTCATGCATTTGAATTACGGTGTTGGTGAAGAATATTGAAAATACCATGGACTGCCAAAAGAACAAACATCTATTTTGAAAGAAGTACAGCTAGAATGCTCCTTAGAGGCAAGAATGATGAGACTTCGTCTCCTATACTTTGGATATGTTGTCAGGAGGGACCAGACCCTAGAGAAGGACATTATGCTTGGTAAAGTAGTGGGACATCGAAGAAGAGGAAGACCTTTGACAAGATGGATTGACACAGTGACTGCCAACAATGGGCACAAACATAACAGTTGTGAGGATGGAGCAGGACTGGGCAGTGTTTTGTTCTGTTGTACCTAGGGTCACTATGGGTGGGAACTGACTTGATGGCACTTAACATCAACAATCCAGCTCGAACTTGTTCTTTATTGAGATTTGTGTAGGAAGCACAGAGGGAACAAGTAGATAGACAGTTGGGTAAATTGATGGGCCAGGAAGGACTCTGGATACTGTGTTAGTCCAGGTTGACTAGAGAAACAAATCCAGAGACACGTGTATAAGAAAGCTTTGTATCAAAGAGTAATTGTATATTAAGAACACATCCCAGCCCACTCAAGTCCATTAGCCCATTATTAGCCCATATGTCTGATACCAGTCTGTAAATTCCTCTTTAG